CCCCAAAACCCCAAAACCCCAAAACCCCAAAACCCCTTTAGATTCGATAAATATTGAAATTAAAAATTACTACTTGATCCGAAAGTTTTCCGAACGGTAGCAGGAATTGACCTCCGAGTCGAAGGAATTTTGGACCTTTGTGTGAAAGGAGTCGCAGTAGCCTGGTCCATCCCATCTGTTCCTTTGATGTATCTTCGAGAATGGACGTAGTAAACATCTCTGAGATCTCTTTTTCTGTTAACTATCCTCTCTTCGTACTGTTCAGGTGCATAACGCCCAGGAGGTTTATCATACTTGGCATTGTTAATCATATTGTACACTTTTGCACCAGTCAGATAATTAGTCTGAGAAGTATTTTTATAAGGATCCCCCACATAATGTACAATTTTTGAATGAAATTCTTCTTCATCAGGAAACGGAGTCAGCTCCTTTAAAGGTGAAGGAGGACGATAAGAGTCATCATGAACTTTCTTCATTACTCTGATATCTGTAAGAGGTTTTGGCCATTTTCCCGGTGGGAGTTCGTACAGTCTTCTATCATCAGGTTCATCAAATTGTTGTAGATCTCTTGGAAGCTTTTCTCTCCCAATCTTAGTTAATGCAGGAAAATCTGTATTTTCATCAATTCTTTTAGTTTTAATGATTCTAGAGTTGTGATTTTGAATCCCATCAGTGACAATGGGGCCCTTAGCTGTAGGAATAACAGATTGGTAGTAGCTATTAGGGCCTGAAAACTCTCCGTAATTCTCAATCTCCTTCAAGCCATACCCTTCAACCTTGCCATAAGCTGGCCTCAATCTCTGCTCTGAACCTTCATTAATATCTATAGGATTTGATAATTTTGGGAGCTGGAGCCTGTCTGCGTTCTGGCGTCTATTTGTATTCTACATAAGCATCCTGAGGCAGATATGTGCCTAAACATTAGTTGTTTCAAATACCTTTGCTCTTTTTTACTCCATACGAAGTGAGAGATTGTACTGGGTAATTATGATTGTAATATTTAGGCATGTTGTCTCTATCCTCTATTTCTTTATTCCCTTCTTTAACACTTTTGTACAACATATTCCCAGCTCTAGTTCTCAACTTAGCTTTAGGAGTGATTATTCGATTTGGTAATGGCTTTGTAGGCTGTTCTAAGGGCAAGTTCCAGTCATATTCTTGATCTAAACCAACTCTGGGCTGACTTTGAGACTGACCTAAAGAAGGGCCATACCCATGAGCCATTTGAATTTTTCTTTGCACAAACCCAGGAACGTCTCTTTTAGTTGAGACATAGTTCTCTCTCTTTTTCTTGTTTATTCCTCCTGTTGCGTTACTCCTAAAATTAAATGATAAAATTTTGGTAAAGAAAGCAAGCTTCGAGTAAAACAACTCTTGTTGGTCTGGAAAGAATTTTTCTTCACCAAGTTATGAACTTCCAAAGTGCTCTAACCTGAAGAAGATTTACCTCATGCTCATGATCTTCTGGTTTGGGATTAATTGGGTTGGCTGAGAGAACTGGGACATGCTCTGGACATTCCTTGAGTTATCAACAGTGTGATAATTCACAGTTGAATCGAAATATGACATTTTCAATATTTATAACAATCTTAGGGGTTTTGGGGTTTTGGGGTTTTGGGGTTTTTGGGG